CGTCGGGTGACCAGTCGGACTTTTTTTTCACATTGGACTCCACCAAGAAGAAATCCCATCATACTGCTGCTTAAATGTTCACTACTGTACGTCAGAACTTATTCAGCAAATGTGTTTCCATCTCTGCTTTTGTGCATTAACTCTTACAGGATGGGGGAAATAGGTCTTGGTGGAAGTTTGCACTCTCCAAGTGCTTCTAGTTAAAATGCTGTTTTTATGTTTAAATAGAAAATAAACTTATCTTCTCATCACTTCCTCTTCTAAAAGCCTTGAAATTGGCCTCTGTCTCTTTAAGAACCACCTTCTGCTGCTGTCCCATCCCGTCACCCGTCAGTGGTGGGGAGGGGGAGGGGGTGGCACTCTGCCATGAGGAAGTTCGGCTTAAAGACACGTCCCAGAGGTGTTTCTGGTCCCCACCTGTCGTTTTTTCTCCTCAGCATGGCTGTCTAAAAACACTGCAGGATTTCTCAAACATGCATGAATGAGTCAGAGCAAGGCTTTGGGCATGTTTTTATGAGAGTATAACATCATAACATGATATAAAACTCAAAAAAGTTGATTTTACAGGATATTGCCCCTTTAATGAAATGAATAAAGAAATTGAATTGAATTGGGAAAAAAATGTGGAAGTGCAAAATTTGTGAATCGCCTGTTCATATTTTCAAAACAAAACCTGCCTTCTGTCTTTTCTCAGGAGTTTGGACTGGCTCGCTTTAAGAGCAACCAGAAGAAAGCCATGAAGGGGCTTGAATACGCACTGTCTAATTTACAAGGTATGTACGCGTCTACATGTGTTTTTAAAGACCAAACTGGAAACCAGCACAAAAGGAAAACAGCTATTGAATGTTATAAAATATAGAACGTATTAAAATACAAATCTAATTTGACCTCGGTGTAGGGTTGGGCATAATCGTATCGTGTGTGATTAATCGTCAAAAAAACATTAATCGATTAATTTTTGGCACTTGACAATTAATACGATTAATGCCACCAGTTAGAATCCGTTCGCTGCTCCTCTCAGCTTCAAATATGACAAACATCAAAAAAGTTCTGTAACTTATTTATTTATCAACACAATTTAAAATTTGATGTATAGCCTGAAGTCTGTAATTTTGACACAATTTGGAACAGATTTTTATGAAGAGCAAATCTTTCCCACTAAATCGGTCATGTGACTATGAAATAAGGGTGTCCAGGGACTCCAGGGGATTAATCGTCAAATTAATCGTTATCGGCTAAATACCACAATTAATCGTGATTTATTTTTTTGCCAATATTGCCCAACCCTACCTCAGTGTTGCTTCTGTTGCCTGATCAACAAACTAAAACCCAAAAACAACAGAACAGTAATCTGAGAAAATAGAAAAAAGAGTATTATTTTTTGAAACTTGTGAAAAACTCTTGTAGGTTATTAATTTATTTTTTCTACCTATAGTTTTGTTTTCGGCCCATCTGTGCTCAGTGTGGTGTTGATATGTGTGTTGTGCTGATGCAGCGTGTAGTTGTCTAAAAAGCCCATTGTTGTGGTTCTGCCCTGTTGCCCCGTTGTTGATGGCGCTGCAGGATTTGGCATCAGGCTGAGCGTTGGGGTGAGTACGTCAGGAGTGAGGCATTTATCTGACATCCCGGGCCTGTTGCCCAACAGTTCGGTCTCATGATGCCACATATGAGCCTCACACACAGTAGACTGTAGCTGAGGTAGCAGCCCCTCCCCCGTTTGTTGCTTTTAGGTAACTGTAGCTAAAATAAGAGTGGAATGAGTTACAGTAATGTTTAGTTGTGTTCCCCCAAACCAACAGTGTTGTCTTGCATCCTTTGCAGGCTGGGGGTCTCTCTACATTACTGCCACCAGCTGCAGCAAATATACAGCTACGTATTAGAATGTACGACCAGTGGTAGTTCTGTGGTGAGACATAAAAAAAACTAAATGCAGAAACTTGAAATATGTGTCATCTTTCAGATTTGTTGTTTTGTTTGTGTAGTTTCTGCATTCTTGATTGTGAGGAGCCAAACAGTTCAACACTTTTTATAAATGAATTGTTTTTAAAAAGCTGGAGAAACAGGTGAATTTCCTACATGATGCCACTAACAATATTATAAGTGACTAGCGTAGCACAGAGAAAAAATTTGAGTGTTCTTCAGTTTTTGTTGTTACTCTTTTGTAGAATTTGATTTGATGATGGGGCATGTTGGGGCTTGCAGTTTTTCCTGCATGTGTTCCTTTGTTTTCTGCTGACAAACAAAACAAGCTGTAGTGTTTTTTGTGACACCCCCCTCAGTCATCACAGGCCTTTAGAGCATTTAGCTGCACATCTGTTTTCTTGTCTTGCAGATGTTAACTTTCATTGCTTCCATCATCAAGTAAAGACAGGTGAGGCCGTAGCTTCAGCTGCAAAAGCTTTTTTATCGTTCAGGTGATGAAGGTAACAGACTTCGTGTAGCTGAACAGATCAGGATGACGGAATGACTTTTACTGCCTGTCAACTAGGGCTGTGTATTGACAAGAATTTGGCGATACGATGCATACCATGACAGAGGGGTCACGATATGATATATCCCGATATATTGCGATACTATAAGCAAGGCGATATATTGCGATTTTTTTGTCCAAAAATCCTATTAAATAAAAACCTCTTACTGGGGGAAAAAAATGAAAAACCAAAATTCATTGTCTCAGATAATTCTAATATTACATAGACATACTTTTGATACATTTAGCTGTGTTCTGCTTTGTTTGTATTTTATTGTATTTGTTTCATATTTCTTATTTCATCCATGTTTTCAATTATTAGACTAAATTTGACAATAGTTTGAAAATATATTTTTTGCAGCTTTTAGTTTTTAATATTAATTTACAATATGGTCACCCAACACTTAACAATAGCCTCTACCTCAAGAGGTAGRGTAGCCAAATGGCTGGTTCACTGCTGCCAACTAGTGGTCAGAGGCTGAACTACAACATAAAAATGAATGGCTGGCAGGAAAGTTGACATTTCAAACCTTAATAAAAAAATCGATACAGGGCTTTAGAATATCGATACAGTATCGGGAAATGAAATATCGTGATATTTCAGTGTATCGATATTTTCTTACACCCCTATTGTCAACAGAAGGCGCTGCTGAAAAGTTCTCGTCGTGTCACGTGAAGCAGCGTTGAAGCTGATCAGAAGTTTCCCCACACAGAGAAACAGGCCCGTTCTGTCTTTCTTCTGCTTTCACTTGAGGTGAGGGGTTCACAGTCAGGGCAGATGCAAATACACTCCACAGCCCATGGCGTGAATCCACTGAGAGGCAGCTCATACTAGCATACCAATGAAGGGAGGAGGGCTGCTAACTCACACAGCCTTTCTGTTGGGTCAGCTTTTCAAATGTGGCAAACCTTAACCAGAGGTGGCAAGTAACTAGTTACAGTTACTCAGAGATGTGCACAAGTGTTTTGTTTTTTTTTGCAAGTCCAAGTCTTTGACCAAAAATCCAAGTCAAGTCTCTCGACCTCAAGTCCAAGTCTAGTTGCATGTATTATTTAACTGGCAGTTTGATCAAAGGTATTCTAACTATACTAGATTATATTCTATATTTTAATCAAATATTAAAACATAGTATTATATTTTAATAATACTATTAAAACATAATACTGTTTTAAAGATGCAGATAAGGTTAAGGTTGAAAGAACAACAGTCAAGCATTTAGAGTATTGTTAATGGTATTTTGCACTTGTAGTCTTACTGTAATTATATCTTGTCATTGACAAAGAACAAATCCAACAAGTCTGCTGCTGATTTCACAATAAAATACCAGAAAGAATGTTTTTAAATGAATAAAAGCATGTCAGCAAAGATGATGAAACAGGATCCTTAAAGTAAAAGGGATGCACAAGTCATCCCAAAAACAAATTTTGTATTCAGACTCCACACACTTTGCATTTTGACATTTTGTCACGGCGTTGAATAAAGTCTCTGTAAGCAAAGCTTATAATAAATATACTGCAACACACCTGCATGCTGAAGCTCTGTTTGTCACGTAGGATACACGTCATTACATTTTGCGGTGCTGGCCCTCCCTGTTCTCAGGCGAGGGTGAGTGGAGTGTATGGAAGAATTATTCTGACTTAATCAAGAGTGTAGTTTTCAAAGTGAGAGCAGGAGTAAATGTCTTTGCTCTTAAAACTTTATGTATTTGTTCTGAAAGGAGCGGAGCATGGATGTGTACTGAGGGAGTGAGAATCGTGAGCCGGGCAGTGAAAAGACTTGCATTGTTCACGAGTCTCAAACCACAAGTCCAAGTCAAGTCTAAGTCTCTAATAGTAGGGACTTAAGTGCGACTCAAGTCCGAGTCACAAGTCCCCATCTCTGCAGTTACTCAGTTAATTTTTGAGTAACATTTTGGGAAAAAAAATACTTTTAGGAGTAGTTTCACTACACTACTCTACACTTTTTACTGTACTTGAGTAATATTAATGTATCGCTACTTGTGTTTGAGTAAATTTTCAGAAGACTCTACTCATTGTAAGTAACTTCACTGGATAAAAACAAATAAGTTTTAACCAGAAATGCACCAGAGACACAGTTTATGTCTCTTGTTTGGACACAAGTTTTGTTCTAATATTTTCGAGCTGCTGCAACATTTAGGTCAAGTGAATATTTGGTAAACAGTAGATATAGTCACTGATAGAAGTATTTTTCCTTGTTTTGTAAAATAAAACAAATTATGTAAACACACACATTACCTACTGTAATTATTAGTGTAACAAGTTTCATAATGAGAAGTTTGAATTGGAGAACTATTATTTTTAGATTATTTATTTGTATTTTTTTTCTTCATTTAGTCTTTAAAAACACCAGAATTTGCTCATAACTTTCTACTTCTTGTCAATCTGATAACATCATTTTAAAATATTCAATCAGATGTTATGATCAGATACTACTCAGGTAGCCTTTTTTTACATTTTTTTTTTACTCCAGTGATTTCTTGGGTGGCAAGTTTTTATTTTTACTTGAGTAAAACTATGTTGAAGTAGTACTACTCTTGAGTAAAACTTTTGCTACTTTTTCCCACCTCTGACTAGGCCTGTTACAATAAACAATAAATCAATTCATCCTACGATTAATTGAAATGAGGGAAATAAATTAAAATGAAGACAATAATTTTCATTTGCCTTTTTTTCCCATGTCTCCCTCTTTTTTTACTTATTAACACAGAGAGGAGTGAACTCTGGCATCAGGTATTTGCCAGGTGCATGGTCTCCTAACCTCTGTAGCATTCAGCCAGAGGAGCGTCTTCAGTTTTCTGACGCCTTGGGATTGCTGACAGTTATTTTTTCCTTTTACATTATGTAAACTTTTGCATGTAAACGTCAAAAAACGGGTTGTTATATCATTACTTTAGTTTAAACTGGTCTCCAACAATGTTATTGTTTATCACAATAATTTCTGAGACAATTTATCATCCAGTAAAATTTGTTATGGTGACAGGCCTACCTCTGACCATGTTATTTTCACCTGGCATCCCTGACTGAAAACGCCATGTCTGAACATCCTGCAGATCCTTACAGAAATGTCAGATTGATGTAAATGTGATGCTGTCAGACGGGAAAAAAAGCAAATATTAACCTAAACTCTGTAGTAGTCGCTGAGAGGCATTCACTTGTGATTTGTGGATTTGGAAACAGCGTCTGTATGATGATCCTCCCTCTGCTCTCTCAGGAGAGACGCCCCAGCGGCTGCTCAGGGACACCATGAAGGACGCGTCGGAGAAGGCCAAAGAGGCAGCGAAGACCCTCGCCTCCGCCGCCCCCCAGAAACCCCAGCAGTACGTCTGACAGGGAGTCTGACGGAGAACAAGGCCTTCCCATCGCCTCCGCACTCGAAGCAGCCTCAGTGGATTCACCCCCTGCTGTGAGACAGTTCAGTGTTTGTCGGCACTCTCCGTATGTTTTTGTTCTTAACGTTTTATCAATTCTCAGGTTCTGAGCTTTTGTTTCTTTATTTTCTGTAAAAAATTTTTTTAAAAAAGTCTGCCTTTCAAACCTGCAGCTTCTTTTACATTTTTAACAGCGTCAGATACAACTCAACTTCTGACTTATTAGGCTTTATTTGATAAACTTGTGTAATTTGGCCTTCATCCCGTTTTATCTATTTACATCTATAAAGAAAAGTAAAATAATTTTGGTGTGAGATTTCCAGATAAAACTTAAATGTGTAATTTTCTTGAAAGTTTGTCTATCATGAGTTTTCAACGAGTCAAAAAGGAAACCCTGCGTTTGTACTGACCTGTGATGTTGCTCTCGTGATTAAATCAGAAAGCAGAAGTTGCTCCCATACTGTCGCCGACAATCACAACAAAATGACTTGTGTCAGAATATCACTTTGACCTGCGCTCAGATTTACTGTATAATGTGATTTTTACTGTGTCACTGAAGTGCAATGATGAAACTAGATCATTCAGTTCTGCCTTTCTGTGAAGTTTTATCTCGTGATAAAAATAATGTAAACATTTCAAGACTGCATTCCCTTTAAATTGGAATTAGCTGGATGTTTCTTTCATTTATTTGTTAAAGACTTGGATTATTGTCAGACACAAGTCAATGTGAAGTATTTTTATTAATTATTTAGAATTAGACCTTTGTAATGATTTCATTTATTTCAAATAATTGTCTAAAATCTGGATAGAGCTGCTCGTTAACACCTTAAAATATTGTGAAGTTTTATTGTCAAAATAAGCTTGAATAAAAACTGATAATTTATGTTTTGTGTCATCATTCTGCTTTACAGAAACAAAAGATGAACTCTGACCTTTTGAAAAACAGATATTCCAGCCTACAGAAAACGATTTTGCAGCTGCACAGACCAAACAGGAAGTCCCGTAACATTTAAGCTTCTATAATCTTCATTTTCCCGCTGCTTTTGTTCACTTACAGGCTGTCTGTGTTCCTGTTCACATAAACAAAAAAAGATGTCACCACTATGGATTTATGTAGAAAACATTTTTAATTTATTTTACAATGAGAGAATACACAATACCTTCAAGTGTATGCTGTAATGTAGTCAGCACCAGGTACTTGTGTACACACACACATACGCACAGAACAAAAAAAAAAAAAAAAAAAACACATTTCATGAATGCGGATTACACATTCGCTAAAGTAAAATATTTTAAAAAAGGGAATATTTTCACAGGTCTCTGGCACAGAACTCTCCCTCCTCCGCACAGCGTTTCAAACCCAGACTCCTCAGCGTCCTCGTCTCGACTGAATCCAAGCCAGCCGGCCTCGTGTGGACGCGACGCCTGTCGTGGAGTCCTCCCGGCTGAGACTAGAGCGTCCAACTAAGCGCGCGAAGATGCAGAAATAAAAGCGATGAAGTGCAGAAAGTGGGAAGCTGACCCTAAAGCCTACAGGTAGTTAAAGCTATTCGTCATGGATCACAAACACAAATTCCTTTAAGTATGGAAGGATTAAAAGTGGCTTTTGTTTGGCAGGAATAATATTTCATGGAAGTCATCGTGGTTTTTTTTTTTTTTTTTTTTGTTTTTTTTTGTTTTTTTATATAAGCACCATAAATCAGCAGGCCGGTCTGTGGTGATTTTTGAATATTTTTTTTATTTACTGCTATTTCTGTGCTCGCCGAAGCTAATCTCTGTGCAACAGCAACATTAAAAGCAACCATCACTTCTCGGTCCGGTGTTGCAGCTTTCAGTTCCCCTTTTTCTCCGCTTTGACTCTGACGTTAGCAGGCGGTCGATGTAAATGCTCTGTAAGTTAACAGACGAAAAGTCGTAGCAACTGCTCAAAACAGTTTTTTTTTTTTTTTTTGCTAAATGGTACAATCTCTGCTTTTTAAAAAGAAAATAAAATGTTTCCTCAAGGCACATCATTAAAGGAATTACACACTTTCCCTCAAAATGTCAAAGAGAATGTTAACCCGTCTCAGCTGCTCAGTAACCACTCGTTCAGAGTGTGTTTGTGTGTGTGTACTCTGTACATTTGTTTTAATGGAAAAAAAATCTCATTTCTGGCTCCTTTTGCCCCGTCTTTGTGTCACTTTTTTTTAAACTGGGAGGTTCTGTGCAAGAGAATCATCTTTAATTTGCTCTGAATCTGACCAACATTTTAAAAAAAGATTTTTTGTTTTGTTTTATTTGCTATACACACTTGTGAACAAATCCTTTGACATGAATGTAAACTCTTCAGGACCAAATAAATAAAAAAAGACAACTTAATGGTTAATTTTTTGAACCTCCTGCAGTGTGTGGAGAGAGTGCAGATAGGAGGTTGAAAAACGAAACGTGTTGGTCGCCATCAATGCACCACAGAGGAAAAACAAAAAACCACCTGCTCGTCTTTAAAACAAACAAACAAACAAAAACAACAACCCTGCCCCAGCCCTCCCTCAGAAAAGCACAAGATGGTAATATTGCTGTGTGTCAAGAGGTCCCCTGATCAATGGGTAACACTATAGTTTTTTTTTTTTCCTGGGACAGACCACCGGGAGCTAAGAGGATATCACCTTAAGCTGCCATTGGTTGAATTCTTTAAAACAAAAAAATCGCTCCTCTCCCAGTGGCTCCCATTCAACAAACACATAGTCAAACAAACAATAATAGTAAAATGTCGTAAAAATAAAAAAAAAAATAAAAAAAAAGAAACACGCTTCAAGCCCAGACGTTCAGAAACCCCCGATTGTTGTTCGAAGTTAGGGAGGAGGGGCGGGACTAGAAGCTGCCATGGGAGTTTTACCAGTGTTTGTTTTGTTTTCCATGACAGAGGCGGCGCTGGCAGAGACAAGGTGGGGTGCCAGGACAGCGTCTTCACCGGGGGGGGGGGGGGGGGGTGTCATACGGAGGTTTTCTAGTCACACGCCCCCATTTTTCATGGAACATGTAGGGGCTGAAATCACCGCCGGACGAGGAGGAGGAGGAGAAGGAGGAAGATGCGACTAAAGAGGAGGGGGAGCGTGACCTGAGTAGGGGGAGCGAGGAGATGGGACGAAGAGGAGGGAGGGAGGTCAAAGGCTCACAAAGGCACAGAATGACAGCAGGAGAGTCACCCAGAAGAGAGGGGCCAGTGTAGGAGCTCCCCTGCCCCCACTCTCCCTTCAACAAGCCTGGCCTCCTGTCTGTCTGTCATATACACATACAGATATATAGATATAGATAGATATACTCACTATTTTTTGTCTTTTCTTTCAATAACAGAACATTTATGAAAATATAATACAAAATCCAATACAAGAAATATAGACTACACTACAGCTGATATCACTTTAAGTGACGAGTAGCTTCTTTTGTTTGAAGTTTTTTTTTTTGTTTTTTTTTTGGTCAGACCAGCCATGGTGGACTGGCCAGGTTTTGATTTTTTTTAAAGTGCCAAGCTCTAAAGACTGCAAGAGACCGGGGGGCTACTGATTATTATTAAATGATCAGAGAGCAACACGAGCACCTCGTCTGTCGATAATGAACTACTGTGCAGAAGGTACAGTCCAGTTGGGGGGGAGCTTTTATTATTATTTTTGTTTGTTTTTTGTTTTTAAATATTGGAATTTAGCAGAGCCCAAAAGCTGATAGATAAAAGTGACAGCAGAAACTAGAAGAATATTATTCCCATTAGAGAAATAGAAACTGAACTTAATGCTGATTAGTTAGCTTAACCACCCCCCCCCCTTTTTTTTGAACTACAAACATTTCCAGATTTGACCTGTTAATCAGAGCATCAAACGCAACACGAGTACAACGGAGGAAAGGCACAAAGCTGCAGGGAAATGTAAATTTGAAGGTAGACGGCGCCGTGCAGACGAAGCGGGAACAAATTAGTGATAGGTCTGCAGGTTTTGCCCTCTACAGGCAGGAAAAAGGACATAAAACATATACCTTTTTTAAGTCTCCCAATAGCACCTCGTGGTCCACCCGAATGGATTCAACACTCAGAGGAAGCCTCTCGGACTTATTGCTACATCGGTTAGCTACTGAGAAGAAAAACACGAGATTTACGTTTTAAAGTTGTGAGACAACTCTTTCTTTTTGCTCTGACTTAGTAGTCCATCCACACCGCAGGGTGGTATAGTGTAGTGGTCAGTAGTGTGGAGTTAGTGGTTAGGCAGCCCAACCAGAGGGAGACCCGAGGATCTGGACAGGAACTGTACATCTATTTACACGATTTGTGGCCCTGCTGCAGCTTTGACGCCGTTTCACGTTGTCCTCGCCCTGAAGGATCGCCTCTGGGTCAAACTGATTGATGAAACAGTTTGATGGGAACTGACAGCAGTCGATGCCGTCAGCGTTAGAAACAAAAACAGGCTACGTCCAAACTAAACGGTTTCCCAATGAAAATCTGAGATGTTGTTTTTATGTTTGTACGGAAAATCATCACGGTAAAAACGACCGTAGAGGTTCTAACGTTGCATATATTGCTGAACAAACAAGTGCTTTTTTTTTTGCTTTTTTTTTTGTAGTTTTCCTACCCCAGAGCCTCATCTGTGTACTATTGCCTCTTGAAGGTGACTAAATGTCTCTTCTCTTTTCTTTTTCCCACCAACACAGACACTGATTAACAGGTCAAAGCTGTCCACCTCACCACAGAATCATCAGATGAACCCACAAACTCTGTTCTGTGCTCTCTGAGCCTGCAGCGACAAGGAGAAGGGGTGGGGGTTCAGGTAAGACACAATTGGGGGCGGGGGGGGTCAATGACAGTCGTAGCCAGGAACACGTTAAAGATGTACCGCTGTTACGGTCTGGTCTGATGTCGCTCGTGGTGGTGGGGTAATTGGAAAATGGGGGTAATTAAGGAGAGGAGAGACAGAACGAGGAGATTGGGGG